AGTCTCCAAATTAAAAGTGTTTCCTCGTAGTTTTCTGTTCGTGGCGTTATTTTTATTTCGGTTTTCATCTTGTTTTTTTTTTTATTCGTCTATGCGCCGATATTATGCTTAGGGTTAATTTATGGTCATCATCAGCATTATTTTTATCATAATTATCATCGTTATTATTATCAGTACTTGTTTTATCTTGATTTGACTTTCTATCATTAATATTAATATTATTACCAATATTTCATCATTGTTTTTATTGACGTCATCCTTAATTAATCCAGCATCATCTACACCATCAACATCATTATGATCACCATCATCATTCCACCATTAATAACTTCACCATCATCTGCATTGTCAATACCATCATGGTCATTACCACCATTCCACCATCACCATCACAAACAACCATCACTACCATCACCATTACATTCTTAATGGCTAGCAACAGTGATCATCGTCACTCGATCTTCTGTCAACATCTTTTTTTTTTTCTTCTTTTTTTTTTTTTTTTAGGGGGGGGGGTGAAGACCCTCCAGGAAAAAAAAACGATTCGAAAATAACAAACGATTCATTGAACAGCAAAAGAAAAAAAAATAACTATTCAAATATCAAAAAATAGGAAACTCTTTGAATAGCAGGAATAAGAAACAACTCTTTAAACTCTTTAAACATACAAATAGCAACTTTTTGAACAGAAGAATCAGCAAACAACAACTTAAAAAGCATCAAAAAAGCAAATCAAGATAAAAAAAGCAAAAAACAACAAACAACCCTTCAAATAGCAAAAAGACAAACAAACAATCAAACAAAACTCTTCAAACACCAAATAAAGGCAAACAAAAAAACTCTTTAACCAGTAAACAATACCAAACAAACAAAAGCAATCGATGAGTGACGAGCAACAGGTAAAGAGGCTCCCTCATTAAGACTAATGCATTTTGGGACAGGGGTCTTTTGGAGCTGTCTGATATCGCTGTCACTTTTGCTCGCCGTTTGTTCCTGTCTGTAGATGAGTTTATCTTCTGGTGTCGCTTTCTTTTTTTTTCTTTTTTAATGGTGTGTGGTTCTGTTTTGGTGTTTTGTTTCTTTCTTGTTTTTTTTTGTCTTGTTTGTTTGTTTATGGCTATTTTTTAATGAATATTTTCTCTACTTTGTATCTCTGTCTCATATCTTTATTTGTCTTCCTTTCTATCTATTTCTCATCTTTTGTAACTACTTTCTCTTTTTATATATCCCTTCATTTCTTATTCCTTGTTTCGATTTCTCTCTCTTTTTCTCTCTCGCCATACAAGAAGGTAAGGACACAAGGAAAACGAGAGAGAGAGAGAGAGAGAGAGGAGTGACAGAGAAACTGAGAGAGAGAGAGAGAGAGAGAGAGAGAGAGAGAGAGAGAGAGAGAGAGACAAAGACAGAGAGACAGAGAGAGAAAGAGAGAGCCAGAGAGAGACAGAGACAGAGAGAGAAACACACACACACAGAAAAAGAGAGAGACACACAGAGAGAAAGAGAGACAGAGAACAGAGAAAGAGAAAGCGGAAGAGAGCTGCACGCAAGCAATCGAGGGAATGCGGAGAAGAGCGAGCGGGAAGGCCGGGGCGAGCGAGGAAAAGAAAAACGGTGACGGAGAAAAGGGAGGGAGAGCGAGGGGGGGGGGGGGAGAAGGAACAGGAGAGATGGAGACACCGACAGAGAGACGCAGACGGCATAGAGAGAGACAGGAGAGGCGGAGAGGCCGGTAGACGCTCGCAACACAGTGATGGGAAATCAATAAGGTGAGGAGTTGGTGCTGCGTGACCCAGAGTACCATCAACAAAGGACCTGCCATTACGACCTCCAGTTAGTTGTCACGGCGATACGACGGAGGCACTGTGCCACTCCGCAGCGGTGCTCCGTGCCACTTGCGAGGCGGAGAAGGTGTGGCGCGTAAAGTATGTATAATACCCGCCCCTCTCTCTCTCTCTCTCTCTCTCTCTCTCTCTCTCTCTCTCTCTCTCTATCTATCTATCTATCTATCTATCTATCTATCTATCTCTATCTATCTATCTATCTTTCTAACTGTCTCTGTCTCTCTTTCTCTTTCTGTCTCTTTTTCTGTCTCTGTCTCTCTTTCTGCTTCTCTCTCTCTCTCTCTCTCTCTCTCTCTCTCTCTCTCTCTCTCTCTCTCTCTCTCTCTCTCTCTCTCTCTCTTTCTTTGTTTCAAGCTGTCTCTGTCTCTCTTTCTCGGTCTTTGTCTCTCTTTCTCCGTCTTTGTCTCTCTTTCTCTGTCTCTCTTTCTGTATCTCTCTCTCTCTCTCTCTCTCTCTCTCTCTCTCTCTCTCTCTCTCTCTCTCTCTCTCTCTCTCTCTCTCTCTCTTTCTCTCTCTCTCTCTCTCCGTTTCTCTCTCTCTCTCTCTCTCTCTCTCTCTCTCTCTCTCTCTCTCTCTCTCTGTCTCTCTCTCTCTCTAAGAATCGATCAGTTCATCAACTCTCGACGAATTAGTCAATATTCCTGGCGTTCTTCTACCCC